GGTAAGTAGTAGTATAGTATAGTAGTGTGTGTGTGTGTGTGTGTGTGTGTGTGTGTGTGTGTGTGTGTGTGTGTGTGTGTGTGTGTGCATAAACTGGACCTGGATTCTAGTAATCGTCTCTGCCCACCACGATTGTGTCCTCGCCGGCTCAATATCGTCCATTCCGTACAGTCCGCGGAGAGATGTGTACACGCTACAACACGTGACACGGAACAATTTGAATTGCCCAGCCATAGTCTGTAGAGATATTCAAGGAAATTCTGCCATAACCATGTTTATAACTAGCTTTGCCTCAACATGGACGATTGCTGTATATGTTAGGGTGACTGCGCCTATCAATTGCCAATTTTCTTTTCTCCAGATATTGGTTTTACTTGATCGTGTCGTTAGGTTCATGAACTAGATATTACACCCTTTGCCATCACTCGTCGGACCATTGGCGAGCCAACCCGTGCTATGCTGACCACCGAGTCACTGTCTAGGCCATTCACCCACGTGGGTTCCCCCTGAAATACAATCTGTAGGTAGTCATCCACGAAATCATGCAGATGCCGTGCAAACTAGAAAAGTAGACCGCCCGCGAGCCCGCCCAACAACAGCCCGCCAAAGAGAGGACCAGCCACTGTCATTCATCCACTGGGTTAGCGAGACCAATCCTTTTATGATTTGATGCAGTACCGAAGATGCACATGACCTGTGAAGCTGACGAAAGCAAAAGAGCAGAAAATTCAGGACTAGACGCGCGCGGGGGTGGGGGGCTCGCTTACAAGGCATAGTTCCCATGCCGCCGCCATATCCATAACCATACGGCCGATCATAAGCACTGCAGGGAGGCCCGTAGCCGCCCGGATAGATGGGATCCGGCCGCAAGTGTCTCGCTCTCTTGTTCAATGGTCCAGGAGGCTTGTATATGATTTCTTGAATGTACGGACTGATGCGCTCAACTCTCTCAACGCCCGAGTATGTCGACCCGGGAGGCTCTAGATACACATCAAGGCCGTGGTCGTCCTCTCCGAGATATTGCGGCTGGCCAGTCTCGATGGCTGCCGACAAGCCCTTGCGGAAGATCTGATGCTGCTTGTGCATATCACGTTCTTGTTCCTCACGTTGTCGCCTCTGAGCCTCGCGCTGCTCGTGGGTGGTGCCGGTGATTTTATCCTTTACTTTGCGACCAAAGCTCCGGGGTCCTGCGTTATGTGCAGACGCAGAAGAGGAGGAGGAGGAGGATATGTTACGACCATGCCGTGCTACGGCCGGGTGGCCATGGTTGCTCTTGTTATCATTGCTATCCTGTTCTTCATCGCTGGTTTCGGCCGTGATGTCATGAATACTCGGATGTCGTGCAAGCCCTCGAATTCGCTCCCTCTCCTCTGGCGACACGGAATCTAGATACTCGCTGTCGTCGTATGGGTGATGCCAAATGGATCGCGGGGGGTCGGCCTTTGTGTCAACAAAAAACTGGTGCTTTGTTTTTGGATCAAAACTGCGGACCCAGCCCAGTGGTAGTGACCGCGACTCATCCTCCATACTCCGGCGGACTTCTGGGGAGATGCCGTTTCTGTCGCATCGCGAGAAGGAAGCCGAGCTCGTAGCTTCCTCGTATGTAGGTGGATCAGGACCAACCATGATTGTTTAGATTACAACCAGTTACGCAGTCCGAACAGCAGGCAGCGGTGCGAATTGTCAGCCAAGGAAAAGAGACAAGGCCATGAATGATGGGGGGGGAATAGCTTGCAGTAATCTAATCATCGACGCAGGTAGGTTCTAGGTTCACCATATACATCATCGCAAACAGTCCGGTACCACCCATTCGTACCAGGTAGCGCTCGACGTCATCTCGACGAGGGTGGCCATTACGCACACTAAGCTGGGGGTTATTAGACTTTACACTTTTGCGTCTTGCTGCTAGAACCTGTCCAGGAGGAATCGAGAAACCAAAAGAGAACCGCTTGGTGCAGGAAACCAAGTATTCAAACTACATTTCTCTGACACTCTGCATCAAAAGGGCCAATCAAGTACTTGCATGATGGCCGACAGCTCAAGATCATGGAAACAGTCAACAATGAAGACGGTTGTATATCATATTTATCGTCACTCGCGAGCACTCTATACAGAGACCCGGCGGCTCAGCTGAACATTGGCTTATACCGCGGTGCTCATTATCCGTCAGAGGTCTATGCGAATCCCGAATTAGGATGGACTAGCTAGACAAGCAGAGATCAGAAATAACAAAATCTTCCTCCTGCTCGTGGTTCATCGTCACTATTGGTCATGAGAAACTATCAGCATCACTAATAGTCAGTCTACTACCAGCTGGGAGATCCTGAAGCGGGGCTATTGCTTATCCGGCCGGAGCTCCTAATGGTGAACTGACTTAGTGTTGGATAAGGCTGTCAGTTATCAGAGTACAAAAAAGTCTTCGTGGCTCAGTTGGTTAGAGCGTCAGTCTCATATCATATTACATATGACTTGATTGAAAACTTCAAGATATCTGAAGGTCGTGAGTTCGAGCCTCACCGAGGACACGTCTTTTTGTCTGAATTATCTTTTTTTTTTCTTGGTCTATTCGATCCATGCCTATCGCCCCCTTCATTTTATAAACTCTATTCATTTGTCATGTCCTCTGTCTTTGCATGTTGCAGTATATATATGTCCAAGCTATTTACTCTTTTGTCTGTCTCCCATTTAAATATTACATCTTCTATCCTTCTTGATCTTACGGATACGGCTTTTAGATTTATGATAAAAATGGTTGTACTTGTGAATGAATAAGGGGTGACTAAATCTGCCGAGATTGCATGCGCGATACTGCTGAGTTGTATCTCCCAATTCATCTACATATGTCATAATATCGTCCAGTATTTCTACACAAAAAGGAAGCAACGTGGAATTATCATGCGGCCGTAGGACACACGAGGTTGAAAAACCGCCATCTTCTTCTGTTCGCCAACGGATTTGGTAGACTGCTAGAGAAAACGTCTAGGTTACCTAGATAGTAAATGTACCAAGTGCCCAAAAGTTTAGGTGGCCAGTTCCCGAGTCCCACATTTCTCTTTTGGCCGACTGGCTCTGCTTGCAATTGATGTTGCTGCTTGCTGCTGAGTTGTTTTAGTAAAGGTCCAGTCAGCCAGCCAGCCGCCCAAGAAGCTCCCAGAGCTGTCAAAGGCGTCAAAAGCCAGCGGCGCATATCTCTGATTTAATTACGTACCTACCTGGACGAGTGCGTCTGGTGTCTGGTACCAGCTACCTAGGTATTACTACCTACATTACCTACATTACCACCTTGTGGCGTACTGCAGTCCAGGCTGCACCTAGATACACAGTAGTACATACCTCTCAATTAATAGTGGGCGGTAGCTGCAACTTGTCCATATCCTCCTCCCACCACTACCACCACCATCATTCCCCACCAACAAAACCCCCAGTGTCAACGACGAGCAATAGACAGTTACGCCGACACCGACGTCCTGTCCCCCTCCTCTTTCCCAACCTTCACACACGCGCGCCGACTCGACACTCACCAGCAGGGAACAGAATATCAAACAATCCAGATCCATCAATCTCCCTCACCACTGTTGGACACCGGGGACAGACAGGATGGACTACGAGGCTCTGAAGGAGCAGTGGAGCGAGGTAGAGGACCGCGATGGTGTCCGCCTCAGCTGGAATGTCTTTCCAAGCTCGCGCATGGAAGCCTCGCGCCTCGTCGTGCCCATTGGTGCTCTTTACACACCTCTGAAGGAGAAGCCAGACACACCGCTGTTGCAATTCGAGCCCGTCGGTTGCAAGCAGCCCTGCCGTGCCATATTGAATCCCTTCTGGTATGTTATCTTAACACGTTTGCCATCTCCCTCCCCTTTGCCATGGTTCCCCGTCATGCCGTCTCTGTTGTCGTCGTTGGCCGGTCGCGTCGCCCCTAGGCTGCCGACATCGAAAAGAGCATATTGTTTTAAGAAAATCCACCAAGAAGAAAACCTCCTACCCTGCTTATCCTTTGTATTCCCCGTACTGAGAGCTCGTCTATAGCCAGGTTGATGTCCGTGCTCGTCTATGGATATGCCCCTTTTGTCTCTCGAGAAATCCGCTGCCGCCGCACTACAAGGACATCACCGCCAATGCAATTCCGCCCGAGTTGCATCCTTCCAACACCACAATCGAGTACAGACTCTCACGGCCGGCTCCCAGCCCGCCCATCTTTCTCTATGTCGTTGATACGTGCCAGGAGGAGGACAGTCTGGCTGCCCTCAAGGAGTCTCTGATCATGAGCTTGAGTCTCCTTCCTGAGAATGCCCTCGTTGGTCTCATCACCTTTGGCACCATGGCCCAGGTTCACGAAATCGGCTACAATGAGTGCGCCAAGTCCTACGTCTTTCGCGGCAGCAAGGACTACACCGCCAAGCAGGTCCAGGAGATGCTTGGCTTGCTGGGACCTGGTGTCAGGCCTGGTATCCCTCAACAGCAGCCCGGCCGTCCTCCCCTGCCCATGGGCGCTGCCACGAGATTCCTTCTGCCTGTGCAGCAGTGTGAGTTCCAGCTCACCAAGGCTTTGGAGCAACTCCAAAAGGACCCCTGGCCCGTCGCCAGCGACCGACGAAGCCAGCGCTGCACCGGTGTGGCCCTCAGCGTTGCCGTTGGCCTGCTGGAGAACGCTTTCCAGGGCTCCGGCGGCCGCATCATGCTCTTTGCTGGTGGTCCTGCCACCGAGGGTCCTGGCATGGTCGTTGGCCCCGAGCTGAGAGAGCCAATCCGATCCCACCACGATATCGACCGTGACAACATCAAGTACTATAAGAAGGCACTCAAGTTCTACGACACCTTGGCCAAGAGGACCGCACACAATGGCCACATCATTGACATTTTTGCTGGTTGTCTCGACCAAGTCGGTCTGCTAGAGATGAAGGGTCTCTGCAACTCTACGGGTGGGCACATGATCTTGACCGATAGCTTTACAGCTTCCATGTTCAAGCAGTCCTTTGTCCGTGTTTTCGAAAAGGACGGCGATGGAAATCTTCTCATGGGCTTCAACGCTCTCTTCGAGGTTCTCACTACCAAGGAGCTCAAGGTCACTGGCCTCATTGGCCACGCCGTGTCAATGAACAAAAAGTCAACCTCAGTAGGCGAGACGGAATGTGGCATCGGTAACACGTGCGCGTGGAAGATGTGTGGCATTGATCCCACCGCCAGCTATGGCGTTTACTTTGAAATTGCGAGCCAGGGCGGTCCAACACAGCATCAGCAAGGGCAACAAAAAGGCATGATGCAGTTCCTCACATATTACCAGCACTCGGACGGCCAATTCCACTTGCGTGTCACCACGGTTGCCAGAAACCTCAGCGGCCCAGCCGGCGATCCGGCTATTGCCCAGTCATTCGACCAGGAGGCAGCAGCAGTTCTGATGTCGCGCATTGCCGTCTTCAAGGCTGAAGTCGACGACGGCCCCGACGTGCTTCGTTGGGTCGACCGCATGCTTATCAGGCTTTGCTCGCGGTTTGCTGACTACCGAAAGGACGACCCTTCGTCCTTCAGACTGGAGAAGAACTTCACGCTGTATCCACAGTTTATGTTTCACCTCCGGAGAAGTCAGTTTCTGCAGGTTTTCAACAACTCACCAGACGAAACAGCCTTTTACCGGCATGTGCTCAACCACGAGGACGTTAGCAATTCTCTCATCATGATTCAGCCGACGCTGGACTCGTATGTTCTTGCGGGAGATGGCAGCCAGCCCGAGGGCCAACCCGTACTTCTGGATTCGACGTCGATTCAGCCTGACCACGTCCTCCTCCTCGACACATTTTTCCACATTCTCATCTTTCACGGTGAGACGATTGCTGAGTGGAGAAAGGCCGGATATCAGGACCAAGAAGGCTACCAGAACTTTGCAGCTCTGCTTGAGCAGCCCAAGGAGGATGCCAGGGACCTCATTGGCGACAGATTCCCACTTCCCCGTTTCATTGTGTGCGATGCTGGTGGTTCGCAGGCTCGATTCCTGCTCTCCAAGCTGAACCCTTCGACCACACACACCACGGGTGCATATGGAGGCGTTGGTGCTCAGACGGCGCAGACTATCTTTACTGATGACGTTTCACTCCAAACATTCATGGACCACTTGATGAAGCTGGCCGTCAGCGGAACGAACTAGGTCCGACGGTAGCTGCCTTATTTCATGAGACGTTTGGTTTTGGTCCGGGTTTTGCAGCGTGTTGGTGAGATGATACACATAAGCCAATGACCACAGGGGCCGGCTAAAATGATAGAAGCTTAGCGGGCGTCAAAAGAGATTTCGGATTACAAATGTTTGTTTGTAAAAATTGCCGTCCCTGGTGTTCTGTCTGTAAACGGGAATATTTAATTTGGCATTGCGGCTATACAGCTCGTGGCATCTGCATAAAAAAAAAAGATTCACCTACTAGCTCGTAGAATTGTGAGAAGGGCGTATGTGTGGTGTATAGTTGAAGGATCGAGTTGTAAAGCATGTGGCTGTTACATGGGAGATATGCTGTGCAAATTACACTACGTTAAAGCATTAGATACCTGAACGCAAAAGATTATTGGTACAGTTGACACTTGGACCAAAGGATCCTTTATCCTCTCTCGGTGGATCCCGTTCCCAAGAGGCAGGTTGCTGCCTCCAGTTACTCATGTAGGTGGGTGTGTTTGTGTAGGTAGTAGTGTAGAGTTGATGATTAGATGTACCACCTACAGAGGCAATGGTAATCCTCCGATTGTACGTCTGTATATGTGTGCTCTCGATGACATCAAGGTGTGCTGCCTATGTACTTGTAAAACACGAATATGCAAATTGAGGGCCAAAATGCATAATCCACCCTCGAACGCCCCATCTCTCCTCTCTCTGTCCTGCTGTTGTGTGAGTGGGCAACTTCGTAAGACCGACCCGACACAATAGATAGATCTGGATGTCTTGAAGGCGGGAGCAAAGAGGATTTTTTTCCCCCTCCCCAGGTAAAGGTAGGGAAATATACACCAGTGGTCTTCTACCTAGTCTTATATACAGAACAAAATACTTTGTGCTCGGGAGCTGGTCAGTACTACTATAATGATGATATAAAACGGAGCACAGTGTAATGCGAGGCAACAAAGTTGAAGTACGAAATCAATTAGCAGCACAGAAGTACATAGATCGAATAGCAAGTTCGATCTTGCAATTAAACAGTATAATGCAGATAAGAAAACAGGTCTCCGTCCCTCGCGCAGCACAAAAACAGCACAACCGGACCCATCCCCCACTTTCATTGGCCGCTCTCCGTCAACCCTAGGGACCCCCACAGGATTTGAGGAAATTCTGCAATTTTTCCAGCTTGACCTTTCTCGACCTTGGGCTTTTCGAGAGACTCGCGACAACCACCACACCAACCGATCGATCGAACCTCAAGACCACCGTCACAATGCGTGAGTACAACCTGCCGTTCCTTCTGTCTGCTGCCGAATTGTTCTCGGCGTAGTCGCTCGCGCAAGATGCTGACATCCTAAATCGCACAGCTCCCAAGTTCGACCCCAATGAGATCAAGGTGATGTACGTATCTCCCGAACCGGTATCGCGAAGAAGCACAGTAGGAGGATGGACAACCAGCAGCAGCAGCGGCAACAATAGAAGAAAAAAAGAAGAAGAGAAATAATACATTCGAGAGAATCCCACTCGCTCCGACCGACCGAACGCCCTCTGTTGCTCCCCGAGATGAAAGAAACCATGAACTGACTCAATCTTTTTACAGCACTCTCCGTGCCACCGGTGGTGAAGTTGGTGCTTCGTCCGCCCTGGCTCCCAAGATCGGTCCCCTGGGTCTGTCCCCCAAGAAGGTCGGAGAAGATATCGCCAAGGCCACTGGTGACTGGGTATGATTCCACAAAGCCCTCTCCCCTCCCACAAGGAACTTGCTGGACTGGTTCCAGCTCTGCAGTCTGGTTGAAAAGGAACACATGATTTGGCTGACAAGAAATGCCATTCAACAGAAGGGTCTCCGTGTCACGGTTCAGCTCACCATCCAGAACCGTCAAGCCGCCGTCTCCGTCGTCCCCTCGGCTTCCGCTCTCGTTATCAAGGCCCTCAAGGAGCCCCCGAGAGATCGCAAGAAGGAGAAGAACATCAAGCACAGCAAGTCGATACCCCTGGACGAGATCATCGAGATTGCACGCATCATGAAACACAAGTCCTTCGCCAAGTCTCTCGAGGGTACCGTGAAGGAGATTCTGGGCACCGCCTTCAGCGTCGGTTGCCAGGTTGACGGACGCAGCCCCAAGGCTATCCAGGACGACATCGCCAGTGGTGCGATTGAGAGTGCGTTTCCCCTTCTTTCTCCCTCGTTGGCCACTCTATGGCTACAACGCTTTTATCTCCAAATGCTAACGAGCTTGTTATTTGTAGTTCCTGAGGAGTAAAAATGGGTAGATTGATGATCAAAAAACGATTTCCCTTGCCGCATCTTTCTAGGAGTTCAGGAAATGGCTTTACATTAGGCCTCGCCGTCGACGAATAAAGGAATAAGCCAAACCCTGTCCTCGCTGCGTGAACCAGGTTCTCTGTTGCTCGCCCACTATCCTTCCATTGTCGTCATTTCCTCCCCCATCTTTGGTTTTTCCGAACCCATCAAGATCGTCAAAACACACCTTGCCACACTCTGAGATATACCCATTTCCCCCATGGTCGTTCTCAATTTTATGTCAAGGAAGAATAATACAAACCACTTACTCACCGCAACCCCCAGTCAAATGGCATATGGAGGTTGAGGTCCATCTTTCATGGTTTACATACCTCGGTCCAGTATGGCAGTCAATTACTAGATGAACTTATGATGCACATCGTGAAGCGCATATCCTTTACCCATCTCTATGGTTGACCTACCACCAACTTGATTAATCCCCGCTCCTGGATATCTCTTGATTCCCTCCTCCGACCCCTCCATGACAGGAACTATGCACTTATGTATTCCGTGTACTAACACTATGAAGCATTGTTTTTTCTTTTTTCATTTTTTTTTTAGGTCTTCAATTTCTGTCTTAACCCCCTAGTATTGGCTTCGTGTATCTCTAAGTTAAGGAAGCCTGTCCGCGGCTATGTAATAACTGACCCGGAAGATCCAGATCTTGTAAACCAAAATCTAGATTAGAACCAAACAGGTACTTAGGCAATGATAGCCAAGTCTTTTGTCCTCTCGGCATTCATATTTTCGTCGTACTTGGAGATGTCTTGGTTGAATACTTGCAAGCTAAAGAAGCCCTGTTTGCATTTGCGAAGCACATAATAGTCGTTTGGAGCGGTAGCCCAAGGCATGATGTCAGTCAGCATCTGAGGGGCGACGACGTACGTGGCCGGCCAATGATCCTTTTCGTGTCTTAGCTACCTGGGTTCCAGTCGGATCGGGTAGGCTGTCAAGATGTAAGACTCAACCTACGATTTGATGCCGACAGTCATGTCTTCCAACTGATGGAATATCGAGCTTCTGTGCGGACACAAGTTTTTTATTTTTATTTTTTATTTTTATGTTGCTCACAAAGGGTTTGCAAATACATGTACTTAGTTCATGTAGTCAGACTGTCTGTTGTCCTTGTCCTCACAAACAAGCAGTGGGAGTCTTTTCGGCCGGGCAGGCTGTGCGTCAAGGCCTATTCCTGGTAAGCGATCTTCCGAGCAGCCCGATGAATCCGGATCACACAGATGTGTTATATTGGAAAGGACATTATCAGCACTCCCAGTTGTCGTGCTGCAGGATCGCCAGCCAGGCCCAAGAAACAAATCCACACGGGCGCTGAGAGAGTGAGGGAGTGTGTATTCATCCTGGCTGCTCGTTTTTTTGTTTCCCCCTCTCCCAGTGGGTTTTAGAAGAACCAAATAGGTCAATGGCCTTTCAGCCAATCACGGGGCTCACAAAGATGAGAGTAGCCTGAATTCTCGGTCACCGGATAAGCACACATTGTCCCAATTCTCTCAAGGTCGAGGTAGGTTCTAATCACATCTGGGTGGGATGAATGGCACTACCACAAGTGGCTTTGCGGCATGTATCGACAGACCTATGGGCAATTCATGCCCATGCCTGATGTACGCACACATAACTTTGCTATTGTCTGCTGACTCTAAAGGTATATGTATATATATATGATGTCAGTTGTGTACATTCAACCCATTAAAGAAGCGAGAAATCAACCACACATATATATTGGGCACCGACCTGGACGTTGTTTGCTTTGCTTACGACGCGGCTTGCCCGAGCCAAAGCGAGCACTTCCACATGTGTTTCTGCATGCATGCAGCCAATAGCGATTTCTCGATGTGGGTGTGGGATGCCCGGGGACTACCTAGGCAAATGTCCCGAGCATTCCTATGGGGAGGTGGACATGAGATTTCCATGTCATGTCACGGCAGGAGCCTCATTGCCGCCCGCTCTGGCATCACCCACCCGCACAAGCACACCAACGAGTGACTCTTGATGAGGTGCCTCACACACAGTAGGTAGCCTAAAGACCAGCCACCGATGGTCGGGAGCGAGGGAGCGAGGTGGTAGAGATAGACACGCGAGCAGTAAATACAATACACGCAGTAGCCAGCACGGAGACGAGAGACTGATGGAATTATGGCCCTTTTCCCTCATAAGCAGGCCCTTCTCCCTCCTCTCGCCCTTCTCCCTCTCCAGGATCGACGGCGCCGTGAGGGCAATCAACGTCAAGCAAGCCGGGTGGGTGCCGTTGGGCTGGCGCTGGCTACTACTACATAGTACAAATGCATGCCGACACAAAGAAATATATCATGTGTAGGGTAGGCAAGGTAGGCTCTAGGTGACTGGCTGACTTCCCGTGGCTTACCTGTGTGCCGCACTTGTCACATCTGTCACCCTTGAAAAAGAGTTGCAATGTTACCCGAACCATCCACCAAATGAGAGTGGCGCACATGCGCATACGCATACACACATGTACACGACGAACAAGCAGACTCTTCTCACACACCTACTATGGTATTCTCGCTCGAAAACGCTGGGCCAAGTAGAGTTGTGCGAGCGATTTGGGGGATTCTCTCCTCAGATGGTTCTATGGGAGATCCCTGCCGCAGCTGGTGGGCGCCAAAGCGGAACGCCCCAGTCAAGCCATGGCGTGTAATAACTTCTCGTCGCCGTTGAGCCAGCGAGCCTATTAGCTACCACCTACTGCCTGTATACTATACTTTCGACGCCCACTCCACTCCACCAAAGCACCCATCCACCAAATTGAGCCACCTTGCTGATTCTGTGACCAGTGTGTGTGTGTGTGTGTGTGTGAAAGTATATGAGTATATGAGTATATGGAGAATCATGTCTACACATTATGTATGGGGACAGGAAATAGGAAACAAGTGCCCTTGGTCATGAATGTTCTTTTGCTCATGGGGGAACGAGGGGTACGTTTTGACAGGACAGCAAATGCTTCAGAGTCTAATGTGCATCATTATATTGATTGTCAGGCCAGGTCAGAAACACCGCCGATGATGAGGACGGTCTTGGACGAATGAAACGTCTTATCAAAAGGGTACATGTAGCGGAGTGTGCACCATGCAGCAAGGTATCGTCTAGTGTGCATACACTGACTGCTGTTATGGATGCGCGCTAGTAGCCCTGCAGGAACCAAACCCTGTCCACAGAGGGGACGAGCGGCGTCATTGGCAGGCTCCATCTACCACACTAGTAGTGTACATGCGTACTAATCACCCCACCACCACCTTTACCTATTTAACGTACACAGTACTACTGCTAACTCTGCAAGTATGTAGGTATCTTGCCTGTTTCTTCTTCTTCTTCTTCTTTTTCTTCTCCTCACCGGGCACTCTATACTGTCCGGTGTGATATTGCAAACATTACTAAAAAATAAACTTGCAATTTTTTGTGCAAAATATGTTTCTTTATGACTCCTTCACTGTCCACGAAAACTATAGTCGCGAACAAGAAACAGTCGTCGCTAATATATAACTATCTGACCGACTGACCGAATGACTGATTTGACTCTAGATAGGTATATAGCCTACATTCATTCATACGAATACAGCTTGAGCTTGGTTAAAAAAAAAAGGCTGACAGGGCTGGCTGGCTCCTTTCCGGCTCCTTGCTTGCCGAGGCGGGCCCCTTCCACTCCTTTCGTGTTT